TTCCATGCCCTCCTCTTGGACTCTACCACAGTCCCTCGCCAACCAACTATCCAGGCTTTCACGGTTTGGAATTCGGTGTGAGTGTTTTGAATTCGGTGTGAGTGTTTTGAATTCGGTGTGAGTGTTTGGAATTCGGTGTGAGTGTTTGGAATTCGGTGTGAGTGTTTGGAATTCGGTGTGAGTGTTTGGAATTCGGTGTGCACTTGTGGGCCACCGTACATAATACTGACCGTGCACAATGAACCAAAGCAAGTATGGCTAAAAATATATACTCATTTCGTTATCATTTTCATGTATGAACATTTTGAAAGTGAAAACTTTCATTTGATGACCACAAACAATGCGGATAAAATAATATTTCCGCTCAGATACAGTTAAATTACTAGATGATAAATAAGAAAATATGAAAAAAAGGCAATTTCCTGTTCAATAAACAATTTATCTTAATCATATAGGATTAATTAACAAATAATAACTATGTTAGAACGTTTTCTTTAGGGAAAAAACTTCTATATTTCCGAATACTGTGAACAAATGCAGCAACTTTTCCTTCTCTGTGCAGCAGGGTCTGAATGGGGGGGTCCCATTATCAGTTAACAGCTAAATTTTATCAATTTTCTCAGTTATCAGTTAGATTTTTCGATTCTCAGTTAAGTCAAACATTAATAATTAATTCTTATGTTTAATAAATAACAAACAACTGGGTGAAGTCTATTTTAAAGTACTTTTTACCTCAAATTCACATGTGAAATATGTTTTTAAAAGGATGACTTATTAATTTGTCTCCCAGCACTTCCGGTAAGTCAATACTGCAATCCCTATTGATGTATTAAGGTGGAGCTGGGTCTAATTAGTTGTTTCAGCAGCAAGTTGTTTCGGATCTGAAAACAGTGCGAATACCATGGTCTTAAGGCATCTACGCAAAGTTTGGGATACACCATCTACATATGGTAGTAACACTGTTGTTTTGTAGGCTGGTTGGTCTTGTTGGCTGGCTGGTCTTGTTTTGGTAACTTTCTGCAAGACGTCTATCGCAAGACATTTTAGAGATATTTATTTGCAGACTTTTTTCACGATATCGCTTGGCATGCTGAAATTTTGCAGTGAAATGTCCCAAAAAGTGAAACAACTATTAGTCTGTTAAAAAAAGTGAAACCAAGCAAACATAATTTTCACAGGAGACA